TAGATAATTAATAAATCAATTAATTATGTTTGTTAACTTGAAAGCAATAAATTTGAATTACTAATTATTACTTATAACATTATATATAACATACAATTAATTAAAAATTAATAATCAACATGAATTTAAATTTTTAATAAATATAGAGATTTTTATTAAGATAAATAAATACCTCTCGGAAACAACAAATTTTCAAAGGAATAAATTATATAATCCTAGTTTTTTTACTTATATCGTTAAATATTATACATAATTTAATTAAATTAGTAGAGACAGCTCTACGTGCAGTTTATTAATCTGTTTGTTCAGTAATCTGTCAAAATAACTTAGCAAATAACTAATAAATCAATTATATATATATGAAATTTTTTTAAACTTTATAATTTATTATGATAAAATGTTTTACTTAGCGATTCTAATAGAATATATTAAATACAAAATATAAATTCTTTATTATTATTATTGTATTAGGCTTGTATAAATATTTGATTTTTTCATATAATATTAATTCTGAATTTTTACCATTAATTAATTTTTCCTAAAAAAAAAGAAAGAACATAAAATTTAATATATTTAATAAGCACATATTTTTATTTTTATTTTCATTTTTTATATATTAAAAAATATAAAAATATAGAACATGTATATAATATAAGCATTAATATACTTAAATTTTAGGTAAATAGCTTACTTCTCTTCTTTCTAAAAATCTTATACATATAACAAAAAAAAAAAATGAAAATAATTAAAAAAGGCATGAGAGTCATTGCATAAACTGAAGAAGATCTAAGATTACTTTCATGATAAATAGCCTGATTATTTGTAGATATTACTTTGAATGTTTCTGGACTTGGAAAAATGTTTTTTACAATACTAATTTCTTCATATTCACAAGAATATGATTCATTAAAATCATTTTTTATACACATATATGGAGTACATAACAAATTTGAATCACTTTTTAAGCATTTATTTGGAAGATACACTATTCTTTCTTCATTTCGAGGGCTGAATCCATATTGTTCAATTAAATGAATTAATTTTCCATTATAATTAGAATTAGCACACATCGTATTACCATGATCATCTTTTTCACATATGATATACCTGTAAATTTGATGTGGATTATATTTTGTTCTTACATAATGACGATAATACTTCTCAAGAGTAATTTCATTATATTTCAATTTAATAATTCTATGTTTAGGATTTTTTAAATGTTTCATACTAATTTGATTATTTTTCTTATCGTCTCTATTAATAATATCATATGAATTAAATGAAATACTTTTTCCTATATAATTTACATTAATGGATTCGCACAATGATATCTTTTGGTTCTTATTTCTAAGACGACATAAATAAGTTTCTTTTGGATATTTAAAATACCATGGATTATATTCATATAGAATCAAAATACCATCGTTATCTTCATTTGAAAGAATGGTTATACTAGACTTATAATCTGGTCCATAATGTTCGTATGTAAATATATTTTTTGAAATGTTAATTAAAGCATTATTAAAAGGACGTTGTGTTATAACAAACTTAGGTTCAACCGTACAATATGATGATTGTAATTTATTTGGATTTATAGGACATAAACTCATAAGGCATTTGATAAATTCTCCAGAATCTTCACATCCTTTATTATATAAAAGTGACATTTTTAAAATTTTTATAATTTTTTTTTTTTTTTTTTTTTTGTGAACTTTTCTAAATGGCAATAAATAGAATCAAATGTTAAAATAAAAGTCATTTATAATTTTCTTTTTAAAAAAATTTTTTTTATTCTTAAAGCTGTAAGTAAACATTTAAAAATTTTATTGTAAACAGTACAGTTATAGGAATAGATATGAAAATAAATATTTTATATGTATATTTATTTTTTTAATATGAAATGTTATAAATGCTTATTATTTATTGTTTTTTTTTTTTTTTTTTTTTTTTTTTTATCATTATTAATATTTTTTTTCATATGAAAAAAAAAAGAAGCTTAATATTCAACCTTTTTTTTTTTTTTTTTTTTTTTTTTTTTTTTTTTTTTTTTTTTTTTTTTTTTTTTTTTTTTTTTTTTTTTGATTATTAAATTATTTATTCTAAAACTTAAAATATGTATACTGTTGCATTTTTCTTGTTTTATTAAATATATTTTTTACCTTTATTTTTATTCTTATTTTATATGTATTATTAGTCTATGAATATTATATAATCGTTATATATGTATTTAATATTATTATAAAGATATTTTTCTCCTATTACATCTTTGATATAACAATTTCTTATAGTATATAAGCTACTCTTTATTTTATCTTATTAATTTTTTTATTTAATTCATTGATCAATACTATAGACAATGTCTGTTTTCTTATTTTTCTCACTTTTCATTAATCTAAAAAAAAAAAAAAAAAAAAAAATTATAATAAATATAAAAAAAATAATATATATTTCATTCTTATAATAATGCATATGAAATAATCATAGTAGTGTAAAAATAACATCTATAGCAATAGATAATGTATATATTGTTAGTAAAANTCTATGTTTAGGATTTTTTAAATGTTTCATACTAATTTGATTATTTTTCTTATCGTCTCTATTAATAATATCATATGAATTAAATGAAATACTTTTTCCTATATAATTTACATTAATGGATTCGCACAATGATATCTTTTGGTTCTTATTTCTAAGACGACATAAATAAGTTTCTTTTGGATATTTAAAATACCATGGATTATATTCATATAGAATCAAAATACCATCGTTATCTTCATTTGAAAGAATGGTTATACTAGACTTATAATCTGGTCCATAATGTTCGTATGTAAATATATTTTTTGAAATGTTAATTAAAGCATTATTAAAAGGACGTTGTGTTATAACAAACTTAGGTTCAACCGTACAATATGATGATTGTAATTTATTTGGATTTATAGGACATAAACTCATAAGGCATTTGATAAATTCTCCAGAATCTTCACATCCTTTATTATATAAAAGTGACATTTTTAAAATTAATATAAGATATATATATTTTTCTTACATTTTACTACTAAGATTTCTCTAAATTTATTTTTAATACATTTTCTAAAATTATTTTTCTTTTTTTAATATTTCATTTTCTTATTAATTTTATTTTATTTCTTATAAAAAACATAGTTTTTAGAACAATATATAATATTTATAAAAATTCAAAAATCTCCTTATTAATATTTTATTTATTTAACGGAATTTTATTTTAATTTTTCATTTTAAAAAATATGTTTTTATAAAATCTAACATATGTAGAATATATATTATTAATACATACTATGGTTCACATTTTTTTCTTTAAAATATATAATTATTGAAAAATTAAAGATTTTTTTGCATGATAAATTTAATATAAAATCATAGTAATATTTATTCAAGGGTTATTTCAATAACAAATTAATGTTTTTTATTTAAATAAAAAATAAAATAAACAAAAAATTAAAAAGTTTTTTTTATCGTACATTCAATATAAAATGGTGGTAGTATCTATTCAAGAATTTTTTAAATAATAAATTAATGTTTTTTTTTAAATAAAATATACAATAAATAAAAAATTAAAAAAATTTTTTTTTTATTATGTGTTTAATATGAATGGTAGTAATATCTATTAAAGAATTTCTTCAATAATGTATTATTTTTTTTTTAAATAAATAAAAAAAAAAAAAATTCTTAATATATATAATAAAATATTCTTTCAAGAATTATCAAGAAAATATACATAAATGTGATGATCTAATATTAATTATATAATAATTAAAATTACAATTATATGATATTAATTATATTAAAAAAAAAATACATATAAATTTTATAACAATTTCATTTTAATAACGATATATAATTAACAATGATATATTGATAAGCTATAACAGTATTTGGATAAATGAAGAAATAGAAATGAAATAAAATTACGCATGCAATAATATATTTATAAATAAATAATAATATATAAATAAAAAATAAATAAATTAAATAAAACAGTATATACATATATTTTATTATAAATAAAAAATACTTGAATTAAGTTTGAATTTATGTAATAATAATATTAGTAAAAAAATATTAAATTCATTTTAATAGTTACGTAATAATTTTATAAATTAGGTATATATTAATATTAAAGTAAAAAAAATGAAAACAGAAAAAATTTGTTAGCATAAAACAATACTTCCTCAAAAAAATTATTGAAAAAACAGAAATTATAAAAAAATAAATAGATGCATATATAAAATTCATTTAATTATAATGTTTTTTATGCTGAAATTATTATTGAGAATAGATTAAATACAAATTATGACTGAATGTTAACTTAAGCTTTAACATGTGGTCTATAAAGAATACTATTGACATTTTTGAATTTTTAATATAACTAATCGAAGTAAAGAGTTTTGTTTACATACAAAGTATTCAAAAATATAAATATATGGTTGTCCTTTTATGAAACAATAGCAAATTGTAGGAAAATACCAGGTTATTACTAATGCTTGGTATTTAAGAAAATATATAAAAAAAAATTTTTCTTCCCTTCTTTAGCTTATCGAGTAATGGTTTTCATTATTTTGGAAATCAAATTCTCTAGTTAAATTAATTTTTAAAAGTATCAAAAATGAAACCCAAAGTTGAAAAGAAAACAAAGGAGGTTTAATTTTTATTAATATTTAAATTTTATGTGCTTTTAAAAAATTGTTAACTTTATTTTGAATTTATTATTTTATTTTAAAATATTTCCTTGAATATAACTGATAGCTATAATGATAATTCAAGCTTTGAATAAAAATAAGAATAAATTTATATTAATTAAATAAACGCTTCTGAAACAGTAAATATTCTTTTATGTAAACTATATTCGTAAAATTTCCCTTATTATAATAGAGATATTTTTATAACAGTAAAACTAGTACAGAAAACTCTATATTCTCTTTATTAATTTGTTTGTTCATTGATATGTCTAAATTATTGAACGATAGATTAGTAAATTGGATATACTCTAGTTTATACATCATGCTATACGAATATTAATACACTGATCTATTAATTGATTGTTCAATGTTTTGTTAGTATATGACAAACAAATTAATAAAGAGAATGTGTACTAAACAATATTTAATTTAATTTTAATTTGAAAATCATATTTTTATTAATCAACATCAATTACATCATATTAGTTTATTTTTTTTAAATTAATTTATATAACACTTCAGTGTAAAATTTTTTTAACATTTCAACTTAAAAATAAATATACACTCCATACCAACTAAACATTTCCCTCCTAAAAAAAACCATTCTTTTTTTAAGATTTAATTATTTTTTAAATAAAATATAAAAAGAAAATAACAGAAAAAAAATATTATAATAATATATTTTTTTTTAAGTCAGCGTAATTTTCCAGTGGAAAAAACTTGACATTTTTCTTTTAAAATTGTAAATACATAAAAAAAAAAAAATAAATAAATAAAAGAAGTTATTATTATTTATATTATTTTCTTTTTTTTTGTGTAATTACTTTTAGTACAAGCATTTATATATATATATATATATATATATATTTTTAGTGTAAATACTTCTTAATAACTATTTTAATGTACATGTTTATACTGCTGATTTATTAACTGGGTTTTCGATAATTTTACTAGAGTATTGAACAAACAAATTAATAAAAAGCATGTAGAGTTGCCTTTACGATTTTGATGTATTTATATATATTATATATACTTTGAACGAGTTATTCTTAATTATGTGATCTACTTCGTTCAGCATTCTTTTATTTAATAGGCATATATTTAATTTAATGAAATTCCTTATTTTTATTAAAAATTTAAATCCTTATTTAATATTGATTATTATTTAATTGTAAATTATTTATTTCTTTGCCATGAGTTATGTTCAGCGATTTAAATTTATTGCTGTTGAATTAACAAACATAAACAATTAGTAAAAATTCAAATAAATTATATGAATATTAATTACGTGAAAATTTTATTATCATATGTATAAAACTTTCTCTCACAAATTAAAAATATAAATATTATGCAAATTAAACTCTTTTATATGTAAATGTTTTTGTCTGTTTAAGATCTCATTTTTATTGGTACTAAATCGTACTCTCGATTTTTATTTTACCAATTTTCTCTCACCCATTAAATCATTTAAAAAAATATAAATATATTTTTTTTACGTATCTCAATTTTTTAAAAGGAAAATACAAAAAAAATTCTATAATTTTTTTTTTTTTTTCGACGTGTGCATAACGAACTACGTATTCTTCATATAGCTAGTCCTTTTTATTACCAAAAAGGTTAATGAAACCTTTTATTAACCAATTGCATATTGTATCCGCTATTTAGCATGAACAAAATAATATGTTCTATTTCTATTTATTAATCTAAATATTATATAAAAGGGGTCTATAATATCATTCAAAGATTATGTAATGACCTTTTAATTATCTACTGAACGAATTTTCTGGAATATTAATAAACAAATTAAGAGCTCTAATAGTTATTTCTATTAGTTTTAACTGTTATAAAAATATACTTCTATTATAATAAAATAAAATTTATACATATAATTTATATTAAAAGATATTTATTCTTTCAGAGGAGTTCATTTAATTAATATAAATTTATTCTTTTTTTTATTAAAAGCTTATAGTATCATTAAAGCTATAGATTGTATTCAGAATAATATATTAAAATAAAATAGTATATTCAAAATAAAGTTATTGAAAAATTTTTAAAAATACATAAATTTTTAATAATAATAAAAATTAAAGATGGTTTTTTTTCTTTTTAATTTTGAATTTAATTTTTCATGGTTTTAAAAATTAATTCAACTAATAAAATTTAATCATTGAATAATGAAACCCATTATTAAATAATATAAAAAAAAAAGATTTTTTTTTTTTAAATGAATATTTAATAATATACAATTAACAAAATTAATTTGCAACAAAAAAAAAAAGGAAAATTTCATTTTTCATTTCTTAGTTATATATTTTACTAAATAGAAAGAGCAAATAACTAATTTTTTATTTTAAATATAGTTTATTATATATCATTTCACTAAAATAGAATTATATCTTTTATTAACCCATATTATATAAAAGTATTTGAATAACTAACTAATAAATCAATTTTTAATATTTATATTTTCTTTGGTTAATAAAAGATAATATTAAAATTTTTTATTTATTAGTTAAATATAAATAAAACAAAAAGATAGACATGAATGTTTTATATTTTAAAAAATATTTCCATTGAGTAGTTAAAAAAAAATTATTAAATAATTACATTAATAAAAAGAAATTTAGAATGGATTTTTTGTTTTTTTCGATAAATAATCAGAATTTACTAAAAATACTTTTAAGTAATTTTTACAGAATATTATTAACACAACAAAATTATTTCACATATTATCATTGATCTGTATGAGTTGAATATATATACTCTTGAATAAGTTAAATTTAATAAACTTATTTTAATTTCATATAAATTAATTTGTGTATTAGGAATAAATAAAATATTGACTCATATATTTAAAAATAGTGAAGTCATATATTATAGGCTATTTATTTCTTGTAATTTAATTTTAGAAAACTTACATATAGTTATTAAAAAATTTTTATACAATTAATAAAATTTGTATAGTTTTGTTTGCATACTCTTATCTTGTTTATTCATTAATAGGTGATTTACTACCTGCGTGTTCGATGATTTTGCTGGGGCACTAAAAAAACATATTAATAAAAAGTATATGAAATTATCTCTATAATTTAATGAATTTGTGTATAATTTTAAGTGCTCTATAACAAGTGAACTATACTTATGTAGTCCACTTCGTTAAGTATTCTTTATTTTCAAGATACATTTATTTACTTTAATAAAAATCCCTGTTCTCATTAAAAATTTAAATCTTCATTGAACTTTGATTTTATGAAATATATTTTTATTTATAATGTTATGAACAACGTTTAG